ATATATTACATTTTTTCATAATATATTTCTTAAATCATGATTAAACCTTGCTTGTAGGTACTCTTATTTTAAGAGTTTAAATAATGTTTTATTCCAAATTGAGATTTGACTCAAAATTTTTAATAATTTTATAAAAAGAATATAGAGCGTAAAAATAACAAATATTTTTGTAAGATTTACAAAAATATAAAATAGTAGTGTAAACTTTTGTTTTAACTTTAACATTATATTTCTCTTAATTGAACGAAATTATTTAATACACGAAAGCGTAATGTAATTTTTTTGCAAAGCAATTTAGTCCTGACATTTCATCTAGTTTATATAATCGCATGATAGATTATATATCAAGTGTTTTACTAAAAATTGGTCATGCCTCAATTAGAGACATTAGAAAGCACGAGAAGTTTCCTTATTAATTACTTTCTCGCCGGGACACCTAGAATATTTTACGTGATTACATGCGCCTGTAACTTCTCCGCATTATGCGCAGCGTTTCGTAATTTCGCGTGATAGCAAGTGTTCGCAGTTTTAAATAAAGTTTTGTTCCTTGTAATACTGACATGATATACAGAATACATATAATCTTAATTCGAAACTTAACATCAAAGATATAAATATAAAATATAATATTATAAAATTTTATAAAAAAATATTATTGTTAAACTAATTATGAAATATTAAATATTAAAAAAATATTAAAAAATGTATAAAATGTTAAATATTATATATATACATACATACAAGGAAAATATTGTAAAATATAAATGATAATACATATATATGTTATTTTTGTAAAGAAAAAGGAAGATCGTAAATGTTTTTGTTAAAATTTTTAAAATTTATTATTAAAACTTATATTTGTTTATTTTAAAATCATTTAATTAAGTAACAAAGATATTTTAAGTATTTAATTATTTATTATCGTTGTGTGCATATATATTTTGAAATAATAATAATACATTAGTATAATTTACAATTTATAATTTATGCACGGAATTACAATATTCTCGAAATAACTTTGAACCTTTCGTACTTTGATATACTCTTAATTACGTAAGTTCGGAAAAATAGAAATTTGTTGGCACGCGTCGTGTTGTTGCTGCATCCAGTAAATTACAGTAATGTGCAACGTGTTAATGCGATTGCGTTACAGAAAGTTGCACTGTCGCAGAATTTTATATGAAGTCAAAGAATGTGTGATTAATCTTTAAACTTATATTTTTTTTTAAACTTATATTTTAATTATATTCTTGTATCTTAATAGACACACATTTTAGTCTGCCTTATTTCTCTCACACATGTATACACACACGATAGCTTTATAAAGAGTAATATATCAAAATTAATTCTCTTATTTAAGATTAAATATTAAATTCCATATTTTATCTAAAGTAAAAGATTAATTGCAAAATTAAATGCAATTTTAAATTTGAAAAATAATTAAATTGTTTTAATAAAAATGAAAAATAAAATTAATTTTAAATTAATTTAATGCTTAATAGAAGAATAAAAAAGATTTATATAATGAGCATTATTATATTATAGTAAATTCGACAAATATATTTGTTTTTTTTTTAGTTATTTGAAATCTCTCTATCAAGATGTAACCGGTTTTACTTTAATGCAACACGGTTTGCCACTGCTTAGGCGTTCTCTTGGGATTTAAAAAAATTCTTGATATTAACTTGATTTAACTTATATAAGAATTAAGAAATATATAATAACATTATAGCATTTAAAATTTATAAATCTTCCTTTACATTGTTATCATTCTTATAATCTGCGTTTTATATAAATTTATTTATAAATTTGTATTATATAGAATCTTATGTTTCTATCATTTTTTTCTATTTTTCAAATTTATACTTAATTTAATTTTTTTTTAATTTTACGTAGTATAAATATCAAATGTAAAGAAAGAGAAAAGTATAATTTTACTTATTTTTTTTATATATTTTTAAAAATATAACTGCTTTATATTTCATACTTATTTTTAATTAAATTGTTTTTTTTTAATTTTTACAAATTTGTAGAGTTTAATTATAGGATATAGAACACGAACGTCCGCATGATCATGAGTAGTTTGATACGATCGACCTCCTCCTTTGCGAATCGAGGGTGGGATTGCGAGAGACTTGCGAAACTGGGTGCCTCATTGTTTTATTCTTATATGTCTCGTTTCCTCTTGTGACCATTCTCATAATTTTATCCAATAAACGTCCGTTTTTGTCCTCTTCGTCGTTGTCTTTGCTTGCATAATAAAATCCTTGAAGGATTATGCCAGATGCCTCGAGCGCTCCCCGTTCTTCCGGAAAGCGCCGTTATTTGTTTAATATTAATATAACATTTTCATATAATTCGGGCGAGAAATCTAATAGACTATTGTCTCTGATATTAATCAACATTAACTTTCATTCCGACATTCCAAAAGAGTCTAGAACATCCTTTTAGCGATAATTAAGCGACTTTCTAATTTCTAAAATTAGGAGATTCTCACTATTTGCAACTCAAACAATTAATTTTTACATTCTGAATGCGCTATAATTTAGCATTAAAAATAAAGTTATTCTCAGTCAAGTTTTGAAATGAGGGAAAAAAGCTTGATATTTTTAGAAAGAATTTCTCTAGCTCTCTCACGGCAAAGTTGTTTCTTCATCTCTTTGTAATTGTTTCGATAAAAAAGGAATTTATTTGTCCTCGAAACACGCGCGTTGAATTCTTTCGGCCGTAGATTTCCGTCGAAATTGGAATGTCGTTGCAGCAAACGATCAGGATTTTTTAATGGCCAGGATCAGGTCTGAGCGCCTTTGCAGAAATTCACAATGAATCGCGAGGAATCGAATGGAAAGTGGCAGGAAAGAAGTTTATTACTCCATTATATTTTTTTGTATTAATATTATAATTATCAATAATAATAATATATATAATCTAAAAATTATGTATGTGTGTGTATGTGTTTTACAAATTAAAAAAATTGTTGTTTATAATATTATAATATCCGTATTGAAACATTTTGAAATTAAAGATTACATCTCGTTTGTCGGTAGTGTTCTTTATCGAAAGAAAAAATCGTACATACATATATCATTATATTATTCGTTATATAAACGTGTATTGTCATATCGACGTGACACATTTCGATGTGAGAAGTAGGCATTTCAGGCGACTCATCGAGAATGTTTCTTCTTTATTTTCACTGTCTCATCGCGTGAAGCTGGTCGGCTGGCTACCCGGGGAGGAAAAGAAACCGTGAAGGCCTCGTCGAGGCCGCTTATGCACGCGAGATTAACGTCGCGGTTAACGGTGGCGCTTTGAGAGATAACGGAAATGATAGGCGCCGCATGCTTTTGTGCGTTTCGATTCACAATATGTCGCCATAATTATAAATTATAACTATAACAATAATTTAGGATATAGGATCAATTTTAGTTTCCCGATTATTGTTCAAAGTTTAAAAAGTTTTCGAAAACTATTTAGTCGTTGTAACTAACGATTCAAAATTATAATGTTTCAAACTTAAAAGTATATAAAATTATAACACATGAGATAGTAATAATATAATATTTATAAAAGAATATTATAAACAAAAACTATAATAAAATATTATATCTTAAAAAACAAAACTTAAAATTGTGAACGAATTATTACGCAATTTTTTTCACTTTATTCATTTTTTCAAATTATATATGATAATATAATTTATATGAAAAAGATGGTATAGAAACTCTTTTTCTTGTTTCTTTCTTCTATACCGACAAGTAAACTTTTTTTGTGTGCATAAATGAATTTTTACTGAATAGATTTTTCTCTTAATTGACGAGCCAAATTTGTACCGTTCCTCATGATGATTTCGTTTTCCTCGGAACGGAATTTCACTTCCCCTCTTTGAGATCTTCTTTACAAAAGAATTCTTATTTTATCGTATAATAAAAGAGTCGGCATTGCAAGTTGAAATCTCGCCCATTAATTAGTCCTGCTTCGTTGAACCTGGTGATGTTGTTTTATTCGCGGGAAAATTATATCTGATGAATAATTAGACAATTATAAAGCACGCGAACTATTGATACCGATTTGTAGTATACAATTGATTTGCATGGAAAAGACTCGCGCGAATTAAAGTGTCAGGTTGAAATTTTTATATTTTCCAATAATGAGAATTTGCGTCTGTGTGTGTGTGGTTTACAAATTTACACTTTTTTATGATGGTAGTGTGTTAATGGTTGTAAATATACGACACATGATACTATAAAACATTTATTTTTAAAATAATAATTATTGTTATTTATTATTAAACTTAGTAAAATTACATGCATTATCATTCATACAAATTTAGAAATGACTTAATTATCAAATTATAATCATAATTATAACTTAACGTACAGTTATAAATATGCATACCTATATTAATATGTATACCTATATTAATGAATTAGATACATTGTTTTTAATTAAATACAAAAAAATTTCTTTTTTTTATAAATTTATAGAAAAAATTTTAAAAAATAAGTGAGAACCAACGATATATTTTATATATATTATGCTATTAATGCCGCTTAATAAAGTTCCTATCAAATCCAAAATAACTTATACGATAAAGATTATTTCTGATACAGCACAGTTTTATTGTATAATATATATAAGTGGATTAATAAAATATTTTAATGAGTTTTAATAGCCGATGATTTTTATCAGATATTTATTAATTTGAATATTGGAGTAATCATATAAAAAACACATTTGTATTTTCCTATAAACAATGAATATTTCGATGTGATTGAAACTCTTGCTTAATTCGAGTATGAATGACAAATTAAACGGTAAAGAAAACGTCGGTCGTATATGCAAGTGCCGTTATTCCCAAGAAAACATCATCCCATTGACATGGCAAACGAAGCGTTAAGCACGATTCTAGTGGCCTTCCTCAGCACGTAATAAATCGCGGATTATAAGCTTGTTATTATTATTATAAGGACGCGTGTTGGCTCTCCTGAGTCACGCGTAAGGAGATCCTTTCTAACGGGTGTGTTCCATGACGGTATCGGTCGAGCATCGCGGGCTATCAGCTAGAACTCTCGATAGACGAAACCAGGTGTGTTCTCCAGGTAGAACCTTCCTATGCGGCCCCGGAGATCGGTCAGAGAGAGAGAGACGAAGAGTGGGGAGCTCATATAAGACACCGGGCAAACGCCTCTCCCAGTGAGCAGTCTCGACACGAAAACTCATCAGCCGAGCTTCCTCGGCTCTCATACACCGAGAACGAGAGAGTATATTCTCTCCAGGCATATACCAGGATATTTCGTCGACTAGGACACTATTGACACATTTCGAGTTAAATCCGTCACACGCCGTTTTCTCAGAATGTCACAACACATTTTCTCGCTCGTCCTAGTGTTCCTGGCTGCACAGGGTGAGTCTTTCTGCTTCTTCTTCTCCTTCTTTGAGTTCTCCTTCCTTTTGGTTTTTCTTTATTTCGCTCCTGAGACTCTTAGAAATTGATTGATTGATTCGTACTGACCGTGTAGGATAATGTTTATGTTAATTTGTTTATTGACATTGAATATATACGTATATATTGATAAATATATAGTTAATATATTTGTATAGGGATTTTTAGAAATATTTTTGAGGATTTTTTTGTATTTGCGAGATCTTTTCGTTTTCCCTTATTAATATTTTTAATGAGTAATCTTATCAAGTCAGATTTATCATATTTAATAAAAATGAAAATATTTAATAGCTTTTATATGTGACTAACCCAATATAAATTAATATAAGTTATTAATATATTTGATTAATACTATTTATAAATTTTACATGTAAGTATATGTGCACACATCATAAGATTTTTTTTATAAAACAATGGTTACAATAATTTTTCAAATTTTATTGCAACAACATATTAATCAATACACCATAACAGGCTGATAAATTTATTTAGTACTTGTGTGAAATATATATATTTAATTAAATATATATATATTTTTGTTCTTAAAGACAGTGAAAATTTTTTATTCTTTTATAAAATTATTTTTTTAAACTAATGATAGTGATATTTTTTAATTTTAGTGATATCTTTTATTTTTTAATAACGTGTTAATATTCTTGATGAGACACCTGGATTTAAAATAATTTAATTGTTTATCTAAAATAATGTATTAATGTAATTATAGATATTTATAATTACATTAATACATTTTTCCATAAAAGTTTTTTTCCATAAAGTGTATTGTGATAACTGTCGTACTTTCTCTAATTATAAAATGTTTATATTAACCATAATAATAAATTTTATTATTATAATTTTATATTAAATACGCAAATAATTAAATAACTATTTCAGAGCCATTATCAACGACATACACACACATACATACACAAATTGGTTATATATAATAATAATTTATCTTAATGGCTTTCCAAAAATCAAATTTTTATGAAAAAATATTTATAAATTATTTGCATAAATAAAATAATATCTTTCATCTCGATAACGTCAATAAAATATTCAGTAATATTATTCAATTGAATGAAATCACAAGAGAATATCGGTCATCTTTGATCTTGATTTGATCTAGCGATCGTTTGACTTTCACTTTCGAGATCGGCACGTATGCGGCTATATTTATAAATAATAAGAGTCGTTCGATAAAAAACCGAATCGAGTTGAGCGAGCGAGGTGCGAGAATGAAAACGGTGAAATTTCCTCGCAGCAGTTGCCATTCGCAGTGAAACTGAAAAACCGTGCGGACCGTTCTACTTTCCTTCGTGAATCTTTACGATGATCGTGGACATCGTATCGATTAAAGCGATTCTCTCGTGTCTTTCGCGAGATCGACAATGATTCATAAGAGCGATTCATTTCGTTTTCATATTTTGAATGAATGAATTGTTTCATTTTAATGATGCTTATTATCAATGATAAGCACCGTCACCTATTTTGTATAATCAGAATTATTTTGTTTTTGTTTATGTATTATCACCGATACACACAAATATAAGAATTCAATTAATTACTTTTTAATACTATATATATATTGTTATTCAGTAATTACAATTTTGCGGTAAAGACAGAGTGAAGGAAATTAGAGAAAATGTAACCTTATTCTATGGGATAAAATTATATAATTTATTATTACTTCTATAAAAATTATAATAATAAAAGAATTATATTTGAAAAAGATATATAAAGATTATTATATTTAAGAAATTATATTTTATTATATAAATTAATGCTATACTCGCGATAATAAAGAAAACTTTAGCTCTAGAATTTCGATTAATTTTGCGCGTTAAAATTACATAATTACTAATCTGATAAAGAAGAATAGCATTGTTGAGAATTAGATAATGAGCTCGATTACAATTTTCGTTGCACAATCCTCGCGACATTCGAGACGCAGAATCTGTAGTAAACAGCAGGTCTTCTGCTCCGTAATTGTTACACGCATCTTCGTAAGAACAATAGTGGCCATTCACCGGGTTTCACACATCTCGAGAACTTTCTCTCGTATGTCAGGAGTGAAAATATGAAAGTAGCTCAGTCTGTGCAGTTCACTCTCTCTCTCTCTCTCTCTCTCTCTCTCTTTCTCTCTGTTTTTCCCTGTCTTTTTTTCGATTTCTTACGACCGTGTAATTATTTAGGGACACCCTATATAGCAAAATACGCTACTTGTAAATCTCATTATCCACTAAAATTTCTAAAGCCTGGATCTTCAAGCATACAGAAGCATGTCAAAGTATCTCATTTTCTACTGAAGAAGAGAAACGTTATTATTTTGATTGGTATACACGAATCAAATATTCTTATATTCCTAGTTCTTAATATTTTCTCTTCTCGTTTCAATATATAAGAAAGGGGAAAAATTTTTTTACTTTATATATTCTCTATATTTTATTATATTTTTAAAATATTTTATTGTATACATTTAATCTACGTTTTCTAATTATGTATAATGTCATTCGGTTTGTCATTCCGATAAAACTTACAATATTATGATATTAGGTTATAAATATATTTTTTATGATATAATATTCTCTTTTCTTCTTGTCGCGATTTGGATAGATTGCGGATATCGACGACAGCGGTACTTTTAAAAATATATAATCGCCGATAACTCAGTTCTGCAACGCTTACGCAAGAGATTCTACTTTCTACGGCGACATTTGAAGATATTAATACTTTGAAACTAATCGAGTGACTTTGTCACTCCGCGTAATATCTTCGCGAAGAAAAGTTTATTTATTCGTTTATTTGTCTATCTGTTTCCCATACCTGCTTTCGCGACGTGTTTGCGGCGCCGAATCGCAACGGTAACGTTGGCTTCCGGAAGTGGCGGTATAATAGTGAAAAGAACGCCGGACGTTCCGCTCAACTTAATTTACCGATTAAAAGATAAAAAGGATGCAAGAAAGAAAAGGGGAAGCGGATTTTATAAACACGCTCCGCTCTTGTTGCGACACGGCGCGCGTTTATCGATGAACATTGCACTAAGCAAAGTCCGAGCTAAGGTGGGGTCTCGCCTCGAGTTCTACCGGTCTTAAGAAGAGCCGAGAAGGCGGGCTTTGCTTATTTATTCGTTAAGGGAAAGGAATATGGAAAGGTTGAGAAGAGAGAGAGAGAAGCTCGTAATTTTGCTTGTTGTTTAGAAATTCTTAAAAATAAATCAAATGCACATTTTTCATTTATGTTAGCCTAATAATTTATGCGATATTCAATCTGATAACAAGAAATCTATCCGCAAATTTTTTAAATTTCAATTCTGATAGTGTGATACTTATCGATAGAAAATTTATCTGGAAAATAACTATTAATGACAATATTTATAAATAAAATTAAATCCATTGAAGAGAAGATTGTAAAAACATTGTAATTCAGAAATATCGATTTAAATTCTTTCAAATCAATTATCATTTAATTTTGTTTCTCAATATAATTTCTTGTCTTGAAAAAAAAATAATTTCTTTTAAATTTAAGCAAGAAAATTATGGAGGAATTTTTTGCAAACTGGCATATCTGCACGTAATTTTTAAAAGTCGATGAACTCTCAGTCGCATTGTTTCTTCTAATTGTAAGTCGCCGATAAATGGCTATCATTGTGATGCGAGAATTTCTTCTGCTGTAAAGTCGGTTCCTCGTAAATCTCTAAAGCGAGAAATTTTCTAAATGGTCATTCGTTCGTTTGCGCGAACTCCTCGCGAAGGAACAAATCGCGGAGCCGCACCTGCTTTCAGTGACGAGGAGTAACGGCCGCCGAGCTATTGCTACTCAGACTACTTACTCTTTACGAGGAGTCGTAAAGGAAGGGAAAGTAACCGCGGCGTGTTAACTAAGCGTCTCGCTTGCATAATCCGCTACGACAACGTTCCAGGGATGTCTCCACCTTATTCGCGGCACCGTGACGACCGCCCGCGCAAACTCCATTAATTCGCGCCGGTCTCGCGAGACTAATCGGATTTATTTTTCTTCGTGCGTGAGATGCGCCCTTATGGGTGGTCACTGGCTCTTATTACTGGTCCTTGACAGCATTTGCATAATTCCTGGTAATCGTATCAATGAATACATCGCAGTCATCAACATCACTGATTTAAGGAGATTTTTATATATTGTATACGATATTTAAAATAATATTATATAGAGAAATAAAAATTTCAAAATTAAAATTAAAAAAAAAATTTTTAAATTTAAAGTTCCATATAAAAATGCCACATGTATTTTTTTAAATGAAGAGAAATATTTACTTTTAAAAAATATATATAAATTTTTTAAACTTCATTTAAGAGATTTAAATTTTGGGACTTTTAGAACTTAAAAAATAAAAAAAATTTGAAAACCTATAATTTGAAATTTTAAATAAAGGAAACAAAACAGAAAAATATTTTTTTAAACAGGATTACGTCTTACATCGAGTTATATTTATCTATCCCAAAAATTATTACGATATTCCCATTGATAATTAAGGCCATGGTTTTACGCAATTCCTGCCAGTGGAAAATCGCAATCTGTCGACGTTCTTTCTCAACACGGGCGAAGCTTGCTTCCCCACGAGATTATCCGTATCGTGAGATCGATCGTGCTTCGCTTTCCTTCCCTTATCCGCTCGGACCAGTTGGCTAACAACGTGCAATCTTTTCGCGAATAAAGGCACGTAACATAAAAGCATGTTTATGGTAGATATAAACGTCACGATCACTGACACAATTATTATCGAGTTTTTCATATTGTTTGATAGAAATCTATCCTAGCTATTTTATTCCTACGTTTATGCACATTCAAAAAATTTTTTATAATATTTTTCATAAGATTTCTAATTTATTGTTAACTATTATAATCAAAGGATACCTACGTAACATACGATGATGCATTTCAAACATCATATGATTAGAGTTACTTTAAGAATGTAATCAAGATTGAGACGAAAATAAAGAATTTGAGACGTGATATCATTAAGAGCTCTTTGCGAAATGATTTTAGAAATACGATCGTGACTTCTCATCTCTCTTCGAGCACCGAGAGATTGTATCTGTCGAAGATTTCGGTCGGTCGTTCTTTGAAGATATTTTATTTTCATTTCAATCTCGATCTACAGATCGGAACGGGGCGGTTGAGCAAGAGAGTGAGGGCTTTATTTCGTTCCCGGATTAAATCTTCCGAGGATGATCAGACGATATAATGAAACATACAAGTGCTCAAAAAGAGAACAAGAGGAAAGAAAGAGAAAGAGATAAGATTGAAATTCTTAACACATGATCGACCATATTGAAATAATAGGAATTCGTGTGTTATATTTTATAAAACAAGATAAGAATAGAATCAGCAGTCTTTTTTTTTATATATTTGTGAGAATCTAAAATAAATTATTATTACCATAATAACTTTTACGACAAAATATTAATTTTTATATTACAAAGATAACTTGAAAAAATTTGAGATTTAGATATATATAAATTAAAGATATAAAAATAGAAATTAAATTAAAGGGAAATTAAGAGAAGTTTATAACAGCTTCAACAAACTGAAAGAACTCGAATTTTTCTAATCAAGACACAAAATGAGAATGAGATTAGACGAATTGATTGTTCGATCGAATCTTTCGTGCACTCACGAGGGGTCCAGAAAGGTGGAGCAGGGGTGTGGAATAGGACTGCCCCCGAAGGTTGCAAGTCAAGGCTAGGCACTTTCACTCGAGAACCGTCTTGGGAGCGCGCCTCATGCCGGCTTCCCACCTTATTTTACTATTTGCTTTTCCGATGAACGTGCGCGGGCCGTCGAATCATTAGCGAAACGATCGGACATTATGGTAAACCGGTACCAGTAGTGCATGCATACCTTCGAACAGTTCTCGAACGAAAGTTGAACGATGATTTTATCGAAATTTTTATTTGATTAAAATTAAAAATAAAAGAAAGTGAATTATTACTTTCTGATGTCTTTGAAATATTTTTTTTCGAAACTACAGATTGATTGAATAATTTGTACCAATCACGAAAATTATTGAATCGTTTAAAATGCTTATCCAAGTCATAAAACATTCCTTCTAATCTTCTAAAACAATTTACGACACATTCCGCTATAAATGAGATAGTAATACAATATTCTATGTATCTTTGAAATAGAGATATCTCGAAAGAGAATATCTAGAAAGGACGACGTCATTGGCATCTGGTCTTAACTTTCCACTTTCGATGTGTGCGATCTTATACAAGGAGTCACGCATAATTACTTGCGAATCGACGCAAGAAATTGATGGCATCACATCTTGTTAGAAATATTAATATATTTCCATATAACGCGGAAGGATATGCATTTCAAGTATTTCGCATTGATTAGCCGGGTAATATCCTTGAACGGCGATTTAATTCCGCGCGTACAAGGATAGTGTCGTTTCACGACATCATGACTTTCGAATTGACTCAACAGATTTCGATTCACTACGATGTTAAGACTCCGAAACTGCGTGGCTAGAATCAACGATATACGCGGGAATATCCTTGATATTGGCGTTGCCGTTCAGTGTCCTTCGACGAGAACACGCGCATGAAAATTATGATTTCGATACGTCGATATCTGATATTTCGTAATCGCGGCTCATTCAGATGCGAACGAGAGGGAAAGGAAAAGGTAATTAATCTTAACGATAATTAATTCGTTTAACGACGCGTTAAATTAGCAGCAAAGCTCATTAAGAAACTTCCACATAATTAATATTCTAGTTCGATTAGCGACGAGAAAGCAGAAAAGCAGATAGAGGAAAACTTCTTAATCATCGTTTTTATAATTAGCTGCTAATATACTTAAGAGAAAAATAATAATTTCCTGCATACAAAAAGAAATTCAGCGGTCAGAAATAATCGTCCTAATTTTCTTAAATAATCCGGCTTCCTTACCGTCGTCCTAATCACTCCGGAGGATCCTGTCCCAAGAAGATAAAATGAAGGATAAACAGGATGAATAAAACGTGCTTTTCCGCGCTTGCAGGCTCGCTGGGCCAAAAGCAGGAGGATCCGTGCCAGACCAAATCGCGCGTGATAGGCGACATCGAGTATTGCGATCGCTATTGGGAGTGCGTGAGCGGTCGGCCGGAGCTGTTCGATTGTCCGAACGGTCTCGTGTTCGCCGGCAAACATCGCGGTGTCACCGAGGGCTGCGATTATCCGTGGCGGGCGAACTATTGTGACGGCAAACGCCAAGCTAATCCGCCGATCCCGACCGAGCACTGCGACTGGCTATACGGTATCTTTGGCCACGAAACCTCCTGCACCAGGTACTGGACCTGCTGGAATGGCACCGCCACCGAGCAACTCTGCATAGGCGGTCTGCTTTATAACGAAAGAGCCAGGTCCTGCGACTGGCCCGAAAACGTCGAGGGATGTCAGAAGCATCGTGAGTACGATCGTCAGATAGGGAGTGGATTTTACGAAGGAATTACTTGAGATTTATTGGAACTGACAATCGGAAATTATTTGAAAATTACGAAGCATTTTGAAAAATAAATTCGCGATTTTGCGCGAACAGCGATTAATTTTTATTGTGAATTTTATATCCTCGATTGGTTTTTGAAATCTTTTCTATTCATTCTTGCAAATTGACAGCTGGATTCGGCTTGAATTTAACTGAAGCATCTCTGAAGACGCGATCTTAAGTAGATTTAATTCAAAAGACGCAGCTTCTTTCGATCATTTTCACTTTCGAAAGTGGACAAACAAGACGCGCGTTTCCTTGTGTCTGCTCTTCGATCTCTTCCAAGTGGCAGTACTTGAAGGAAAAAAGGGCGAGGCATTTAATTAGCATTTGAAGTGAATTCTCGTCGCGCGCCTTTCTTCCTCTTCTCGCCTTCAGAATCTCAGATGAAACGTTTATTATTAATTCGCGTCGCGCTAACTCTTTGATCTTTAATATCAAATGTCACCAGATGTATCTGTCGTATGCGAGATTGTATCTCTTTATCAAGATTGAAACACAATAAAAAACATTTTATAATAATATAATTTTTTTAATAGATATTGAATATTTTTTTTGCGATATTTTAGAATGAATCTTAAGAGAAAAAAGATGAGAGAGAAAGAATTATTTAAAACTAATTGCTTTGAGCTAATTGAAATTTAAATTATATTTTTTTACATATATAAATACAATGTTAAAAAATCTTTATTTAAATATTGATATGATATTCGATTAATAATTGGTAAAAAATCTTGATATTTTAGAAGTTTCAGAAATAATTTAATAATAATTTCCATTTACTCTTCGAGAAAAAGAAATTCACGAATATAGAAGCGTGTTTGCATTCTGCATAATTAAATTTCATGTCAATCTATCATTAGCGAATCGAACGAAAGTTCTCGACTTTCACTCGATTGACTACCGCGTCCAATTCGTAACGAAGAAATTCTTCAAGAAATCGCTTGATGAGAGTTCTCAATCTCAGAGAATGCATATTTTAAAATACTTCATCTTGAATTATAAACACAAAATATCATCGTCGTCAGGTCTGGATGGAAATTTCAATATATCTACGCAAATATATCGCGATTATTATTTACTACGAGTTTCTCGAAGGCTAGAGATGTGTCCAGTTGAGCTCGGCGTAAGACGTAGCTTGCTTACAGCTCTTTGCAACGACGACGCCAACGGCAACGTGCCCCTCGGCAAATCGTGCAATCGCTACTGGCAGTGCCAGGGTGGCTACCCGCGGCTACAGCGCTGTCCAGCCATGCTGGTGTTCGACAAGCGGTCTCTGAGGTGCGTAGTGCCTCCGACGGAGGACTGCGACGTTCCTACGACGCCGCCGCCAACCGAGGGCGAATTGTCCGAAGATCGCAACGAGCAGCAGGAACCTGAGGAGGAGAATCTGCCGCCCGGTGTGCCGCCTCTGCCAGCAGGCGCGTTGCCGATTCAACTGCGCGCTCGCCACCGAAATTAAAACGGTGATCCGCAACTGTTCGGGGTCACGTCCAACCATCAGGAAGGACGAAGGAAACCAGGAGATCCCTTGCGACGAGCGAGATCCCGGAGATCGAGCTCGTCGATCGTCCATCGACAGGGAGAACTCGAGAAGTTCTCTCGTGATTTCGAGAGTCTCTCCAGATCTTTCCCTCCCTTCTGTAATTCTATTACTTTAGAATCTATTGGTTGGATCGATTTCGAGATTTTTAGAGATCTGTAGATTTTAATGTCTTGAAATTAACTTCGATATTGGAGAAGTCAATGTTCCGCGATTCCTTGAGAATGTCGAGAAAGTTTATTTCTCTTTTGTAGCGATCAAAAATTTTAGTTTTTTAGTTGGTCTTTGATACAAAGATTTAATTTTTAATTATGAAATGTAAATTTGAATATAATAATTATTATAATTATGTGTTTCAATTCTTTTCAGGATTTTCTCTTTTTATAAAGAAGCAAAACATTTATTATTTTAATTAATTTACGATTGAGATATGCGTATATATTTGATGAATTAATTTGATTATTAATTTGAAATATATGAGATAAATGAAATAACTTAAAAAAACTCTTGAGAAACCAAATAAAATTTTCCAGCCGTTTAATTGTGAAAGTTCTCTCTCTCTCTCTCTGTCTCTCTCTCTCTCTCTCTCTCTCTCTCTCTAAAAAAATGTAAGTTAATAGAAATCAATCAATTAAAATACAAAATAAAAACTGGTCTTAAAAATTTTAAAGGACATGTATAAGTCATATGAGAGAATATGCATAAATGCAAGAAACAATATTAGACGCAATAAACAATTATCATGGAACATTTCCAAAGATTGACACTCGTCGATATCGATCGATCCGCCCATGTCTTTGACCGATCAAGCTCTCCCGAGAACGGAGAGATCCGTATTATTAATTAATAATAACATTAATTACGAACATCTCGTTTTTCCGTCCCAGGATCGTTCACTATTCGCATTCTGTCACATTGGTCGAGATGTAAATATATTTCCCTCACTCTCCCCTCCCCTCTTTCACTCTCGCGTAATCGTATAAGACTTGTATCATTTATATGTAGATTGATTGGAATAAACTGTACGTTGTATATTTTTTATACGCATGTTCAGATTTTATTCAACAAGTTGCCTGGCTGTACATTGTTCTATCTATCATAAATACACATATATTGTGTATACGTCATACATATTGTATTATATACTATATGTACTATATATCGTACTTGTTCTTCACGCGTTATACATGCAATTAGTTCTCTTTCAAAGTTTACCAATAATAATAATACGTTTTAGATTTCCTATCATCTATCGCCAACGATCAACAAAAATGAAATTTAGCAAAAGTTTTTACTTTTTATTTTGCCTTGTTAATTTTTAAATATAATTTTTTCTGATTATTTTTTGTCTATAAAAGTGTGTGTATAAAATTAATAAATAATGTCTCGTGATTCATGTTTTTATATATTTTTTATTTTTATAGTTTTTTTTTTATTTTTATAATTAATTTTCTTTTTTTTTCATTTTTGATTAATTTAGAAAAATCAATCTGTAATAACTCAATTTTTTGCAATATAAAATTTATATTTTGTACACAAATTTCTTAATTTTATATATAAATCTTGGTCTAATATTACGTTATATGTTTTTTATCAAGATAATTTTTAATTTTTAATTTTTTGTTTGTCATCAAATGTATTAGTTTTTCATTGTTTGATGGTTTGTTGTCTTTTTTCGTTGTTTGCCGATTTAGGATATCAGGTGATTGTCAGGAATGTGCCTCTATTCTTAAACACCGTTAGTACTGAAAAGAGACAAAAATATAATTAGAAAATGAATAGATATTTTTATATTCTCTTTAGTAATTAAATTGTGTTTAGAAATATTTTGATTTTGATATAAATATTTAAATTTTTATCAAAGATGTTTTTAAAAAAATCGACTGATAATATTCAAATTAATTAAAAGTCGAGACAATTCAAGATTTTGCTTTTTAAAATGCAAAATGTACAAACCAGTGAGGAACATCATCTGGATCCAGGCAAGTCAGGCTCACTGAGTCGAATAGTTTTCCATCTCCGCAGGTGAGAAGTCGCGGATGACCGTCCACGCAGGTGATCAATCTCCCGCAATCACCTGGTACAGGGAATCTAAAAATTGCAAAATTAGGATTTTTGTATTTTACACAGATAAATATAAACAAATCTTAATTTCTAATCTTTCGTATGTATGTATTCAAGTAATGAAACAATGTTCATTCTTTACTGCATTAAAAAGATTATAATTAAATGTATTTGTAACTCTAGAGATAGAAAATAATAATAGTAAATTATATGAATATTCCTATTTTTTCTATTTTAAACAACGCTCCCTAGTTCTCAAAACACTCGCATATAAAACTGATATTTTATTGAATTGGTTATGTTATTGCATATCTCTCTCTCTCTCTCTCTAAAAAAATGTAAGTTAATAGAAATCAATCAATTAAAATACAAAATAAAAACTGGTCTTAAAAATTTTAAAGGACATGTATAAGTCATATGAGAGAATATGCATAAATGCAAGAAACAATATTAGACGCAATAAACAATTATCATGGAACATTTCCAAAGATTGACACTCGTCAATATCGATCGATCCGCCCATGTCTTTGACCGATTAAGCTCTCCCGAGAACGGAGAGATCCGTATTATTAATTAATAATAACATTAATTACGAACATCTCGTTTTTCCGTCCCAGGATCGTTCACTATTCGCATTCTGTCACATTGGTCGAGATGTAAATATATTTCCCTCACTCTCCCCTCCCCTCTTTCACTCTCGCGTAATCGTATAAGACTTGTATCATTTATATGTAGATTGATTGGAATAAACTGTACGTTGTATATTTTTTATACGCATGTTCAGATTTTATTCAACAAGTTGCCTGGCTGTACATTGTTCTATCTATCATAAATACACATATATTGTGTATACGTCATACATATTGTATTATATACTATATGTACTATATATCGTACTTGTTCTTCACGCGTTATACATGCAATTAGTTCTCTTTCAAAGTTTACCAATAATAATAATACGTTTTAGATTTCCTATCATCTATCGCCAACGATCAACAAAAATGAAATTTAGCAAAAGTTTTTACTTTTTATTTTGCCTTGTTAATTTTTAAATATAATTTTTTCTGATTATTTTTTGTCTATAAAAGTGTGTGTATAAAATTAATAAATAATGTCTCGTGATTCATGTTTTTATATATTTTTTATTTTTATAGTTTTTTTTTTATTTTTATAATTAATTTTCTTTTTTTTTTATTTTTGATTAATTTAGAAAAATCAATCTGTAATAACTCAATTTTTTGCAATATAAAATTTATATTTTGTACACAAATTTCTTAATTTTATATATAAATCTTGGTCTAATATTACGTTATATGTTTTTTATCAAGATAATTTTTAATTTTTAATTTTTTGTTTGTCATCAAATGTATTAGTTTTTCATTGTTTGATGGTTTGTTGTCTTTTTTCGTTGTTTGCCGATTTAGGATATCAGGTGATTGTCAGGAATGTGCCTCTATTCTTAAACACCGTTAGTACTGAAAAGAGACAAAAATATAATTAGAAAATGAATAGATATTTTTATATTCTCTTTAGTAATTAAATTGTGTTTAGAAATATTTTGATTTTGATATAAATATTTAAATTTTTATCAAAGATGTTTTTAAAAAAATCGACTGATAATATTCAAATTAATTAAAAGTCGAGACAATTCAAGATTTTGCTTTTTAAAATGCAAAATGTACAAACCAGTGAGGAACATCATCTGGATCCAGGCAAGTCAGGCTCACTGAGTCGAATAGTTTTCCATCTCCGCAGGTGAGAAGTCGCGGATGACCGTCCACGCAGGTGATCAATCTCCCGCAATCACCTGGTACAGGGAATCTAAAAATTGCAAAATTAGGATTTTTGTATTTTACACAGATAAATATAAACAAATCTTAATTTCTAATCTTTCGTATGTATGTATTCAAGTAATGAAACAATGTTCATTCTTTACTGCATTAAAAAGATTATAATTAAATGTATTTGTAACTCTAGAGATAGAAAATAATAATAGTAAATTATATGAATATTCCTATTTTTTCTATTTTAAACAACGCTCCCTAGTTCTCAAAACACTCGCATATAAAACTGATATTTTATTGAATTGGTTATGTTATTGCATAGAAATATAAAAAAAAATATAAAATAAAAAAAATAAGAATATAAAATACATGGCAAGGTTTGCTGGATTGAGACGAGCATCAGAGATTCCCATTTAATGGCGAGAAAAAAAAACTAGCATCTCTCTCTCTCTCTCTCAGGATATATCTAATTACTATTGTTAATTATCGTATATAAAACTACGGATTGCCATATTTGAAAGAAAATTGAATATTTGAATAAAACATGCGTCGGCATTCGTCACGTGTGTCTCTTTCTCTCTTTTCCTTTTAGTCTCTTTCTCTTTCTCCGAGTCTCTTTTTGGAAGGTGACCGGTTCTTAAATCGAGGTACTACGCATAAACGCGAATGGTCTGACATTTAACGGCATTGACTCCTTTTACTCTCATAATCTTTCAACGCAATATTTCTTCCCTACGAATCTTCCTCGTAATAAAGTAAAGAAAAAGAGACGAGGCAAAAGATCGAGATAAAAAATTTTATTACACCCTGTAGCTGTATAGTAAAATATTGCACGGTGTAAATCGGTAAACATGTATTCGGAAATTTATAGGAATCGTTCGTTGGAATCCGAGAGAGATATATATATACATCTATATCTATATTCTAATTATATTATAAATGTGCTTTAAAGGAGAAAATAATGCTTGCCCGAAGTACATCGATTCCGCACGCCAGTTTTATTTCCGCGTGAGCTCTCGTTATGTGCGATTTCTCGGAAGTGTATCTCGTATAATTAAATACGTTACCTCGGATAGGGCCAGAACTTGGCAGCGGGGCTGTTGGGGGGTAGCTTGTGCGGACATTTGAAACCTACTATAGCCTCGGGGTTGCAGAAGGGGATGAGCTCGTCGGGCCAGACGCACGTATGAGTCTTCGCGTTGTAGACCAGACCCGAGTCGCATTGGGTCGGATGCGGTTCGCCGTAGATGCATTTGATGTAATTAGTGCTGCAGCTGTCACTATCTGGGTACATGCCGAACTGGTACTCGCAACCCGGACTGCTAATTGGCGTATCTGCAAAAAAGATCGCCGATAAATCATTTTTATCTGATTGAATCGAGAGTTGCAAGGTGGATTTGAAAATAAATTAAATGCGTGTTGTTCGATAAAAAAAGAAATTTTTTATATTTTATTAAAATAATAAAAGTAAAAGATTTTTTAAATATTTTTTCTCTCAGAATCATTTTTAGCGCGTTATAAATTAACTATTTACATTATTTTAGTTTTATTTATATTGTATACATATATATATATAATATACACCGAGTGCCTAAAGAGAAAATTAATTTTTATCTTTCTTTCGTGCACGTAACACAGAGCAAAATACATTTATATGTAATTATTAGTGGTTCTTTTAGCGGAATAAAATACGAGAATTTGAAATATATAAGATTGGAAAGTCGCGCAAATACATCGAAATGTTGAGAGATAAGCACTTCAACGAGATTTGCTCGAGGGGAAAATTACGATGATTGGCGTTAACGCGACCCACTAAACCGCTTCCAAAATCGTTGGTTTTGCGTGACTTTTACTTTCACAACAAAAAATGTTTCCTTCGTACGATGCAATGCGTGATTTTTATGTTTATATACAATAAATTACATAGTTTGACGAAAAATTAATGATATGAGAAAATAATAATGTAAATAATATTAATATTGTGTAGCATATAATTATAAAAGTGAAATTATACGCATCAATTTTATTTTTTATTTTGTTCAATTATTATTTTATCTATATTTTATTCTATGCCATTTTTATTTATATTTACATTGTGTATTATTTTTTTAAACAACATTTTGATTAAATCATTAATTTTTCTCTCAAGCAAAGTAGATGAGAATTTAAAAATTATCAATAAATAATAGGTGGTTCGAATATCGAGAAAGCGACGTGATACTTACAGTCGACCTTGCGATTGCCGCAATCGACAGCCCAATTATAATTGCAGTGATTGTGGATAGAGCCGTGTCCGTCGAACAGAAGTCCGTTCTCGCAATACTCGTAGCTTAAGGTACCGTTCGTACATAGGAAGAAGGCCCCACAGTCCTCAGGATGAGCGTAAGCGTGGATCCCGTAAGGATTGGGACATGACGGGGCATTGAATAAGGTGACGGCCTGAACTGGAAGTGAAAAAGAATTTTAGCACGCGTGACAAAGAAAAATTTTAATTCTCAATTAATAGTAAAATTTTATTTTCCAAAGTAATTTGGATAATGTTAATATTGAATTGATATAAGTCTTTTTTACGCAATATTATTATTTTATATAAAATATAATATAATTTATTATAGCATTATAAAATAAATATAATTTATTTTATAGCACATATCATTCAATATTAATAGTCTTCTTTTGTAAAAAAAAAATAATGAAAAATTATTCTGCTCTATATCGGATAAAGCAGTATCCAGATAGCAATTTCATTATATTTCTCATCGATCACATCGCCCTTAATATCCGCCATTATGTCACACACGCGGATCTTAACATATGGTATCTCGGCGGTGAAAGCTTCGCGAGTCGTGGGTGATGTCGAAATCCTTCAGAGTCCACGGAAAAGAAGTAGAAATCGTTCTCACGCCTGTGGAGAGGCAGTCTTCGATGCACAGAGGAAGGAGATGAGCGCATCTCGAGGCGGAGATGCGTAGCATCGGGACGTAAGGTGTGTAAGGCGAGGTGAAGGTGAACCTTCACGGATGCTGGTGGTGGACTTACCACGTGCCAGGATCGCCAGGAGCAACGGCACGGTCACGCTCCTCGGATAGCTCATCTTCTTCCGGCACACTCGTCGGCTTGACTGTCTCTGACTACTGACGACGAAGTCGGCGATTGGCGCGCACTTTAGGTGTCGGCCTCGGTACACCTCGGGGACGGTGTATCGTCTCCCTTCACCGCTCGACTTCGCCGAACCCCACCAGGATGTCCCCCCTGTCGTGTCCCTGGTTTGCCTACGTGTCGGTCTGTCGACCAGCGGCGTCGTGCTTGACGAATTGTCTGAGAATTGCGGTTGCATTCTTCGGTAGCGATGTTTCTTCAAGTCGATGAATTGTGAGAATTATTCGGGGAAAGAAACATTTTGGAAATTTTTTTAGAATTGCATTTATTTACGAATTTTATTAGCAAACAAATTCTGCAAGAGTATTATAAATTAGGATAATGAAAAGGATTCTACAAAAAATATATGTAGATTAAAAATCGAGAGATAAATTTATCGCATCGTTCAGCTTTTTAAGATGTGTTATGAAATTAATTTTATCCTCCTTTTAAAATCAGTTTAATGGAATCTGAATTTAAGAAAAGCGTCGAATAAAAATTGAATATATAATTTAATTCACATATATTATTCGAATATATATATGTAATAATTCAATTAATTTTGACCAATGTCGTACATTAATTATAATAGACATGCTATAATTATTCTACAAACGAACTCTTTAAAAAAACCTTATATTTCTTATGTAATGACGATTGGACAAAAAAACAAAGACTTTAGCTTTAAAGGGACATTTCGAGAGGCTCGTCTCGCGATCTATCATTCTTCTAATCGTTTTAATCCCCCGCGATTATCGCGATGCATCGTGCATGAATAAATGATGTTAAAGTCGAAGCGCGATCCTTTTGCAGTTTGCACCTCTCCGAATGCCTAAGGATGCAAATCTTGAACGCGTATGATCCGCAACAACTATGTTGCACAAGCACACGCTTGTTATTTTTCCACATACTTAATACAGCGTAATTTTTCTGCGTTCTCAGTGAAGAGAATGGCTGTACAAGTGGAATGCTTATCTTTCAACGCGCTTCGCATCAACTGCGCAATTCGAGGGGAATCACGTTCACAACGCAATTACAATAGATGTACTTGAAAGATATCGCTTGATTAACGAAAGAATCCGCTAATTAATAAACTATGATTGCAATGAAGCTTTCATTTCGGTTCAATTAATAATTGTCAAATTTAAATAAATATATTTTTATAATGTTGTTTACAGAAATTATCATAATTATAGGAAGAGAAAATATCTTCTTCAAATTCTTTAGAAATTTAATTGTGCAAAATCTCTTGCGCACGTGGCACTTTAGTAATACAAATTTTGCGTCATCAAAAAGAAGCGAATTTATCGCACAATACGATAATTTAGCAAGGACACGTTGCATTTAACGATTAATGTCAAGGTAAAATTTTCCTGTGGCCTGTGGCCCATGATATCATCGGCTGCAGTGTAATATGTACTCGCTTCTAAATTGCATTGTAACACGTGTTATCGTATAACCGAAACGTGTACGCGCGCAGCAGAGGCGTTCTTCATATATCATTATCGTGGTGCGAACACGTGATTTCCTGTGCGAACACCGAGGCATGTTAGTGGGGCCCCCGGGGTTTTAACCGGCCTTACGCAAGACCATCACGCCGGTCTTGAAGAGGAGGGGCCAGATTGCAGGATAGTGAAAGCAATCGAGGCGAACCAGACAGGCCGATAGATCGATCAGACATTCGGCGTGGATACGTTATGATGATAGTTAATAATTTCAGTGGCAATTAGTAACTTTCTACTAACAAATTGTTCAAAATATAATAGCAGGAAATATGCTGGAAGAGTAACAACTATTTTGTTTTAATTTTTTAAATGAAATTTATATATCTATATATCTTATGCTTGGTTTTATTTTAATTTTTATATTTTATTAAAGTAATATAAAAAAATGTAAATAATTTATGATTTATTTCAAACGGGTTTATTGCTCCACGAACTAATAATAAGTACAAATTGATAGTTGAGGTGTATCTCATCTTGCGCATCGCGGATTACGTAAAGAGAAAGGTTGCTATCAGGCGGATAAGAAGAGAGGAGAAATTGTGTGTCTGCTAACAGCTAGGAACACCATATTATTTTATTATGTACCGTGAATCTCCCGCCGAATCACGAAACATTGCAGCTTGTCTTGTATTATGACATTTAAAAGCGCATTTGTTAATAAAATGTAACAAAAATTAAGAAAAGTATATTATATCAAATAGCAGCTATAAAAGGATGACTGTATATACATATATATGAGATGCCATATAACTTGAGATGGAAAGCAACTTTATAACGAATGGGTTAACTAATTCTTACGATGACATTTGATTCATCGAGGTGAAATCCAGTCGAAATGTATTCAAAGTGATGCGATTTCGCGAACGCATTTCGCGATGCATTCTGAAACATCGTAGGGTGTGGAGGTTTTTGACGTCCAATCTCTCATGTCAGAGAAAGTCACATCGTAACACGCGATAAATATTAATGATTTAAAATTTAAATTATACGATACAAACGTATAATAGTATATTAGATGCATTTTATTATGAAAAACTTAACGCGATGATGTTTAATTAGCGCTTTAAAATTTTTGAATTAATTGTTTGAACGAAATATTTTCTCTCGCTCCTCTTTTCATTTTAACATTTTTCAAAATAATATATACAATATTTTTTAATAATTAATAAGGGGAGATGTTATAGGTAAAGTATCGCACATCCAGAATGAAAGTGAAAAAGATTTAAAATATATTTCCGATTGAAATATAATAAATAATCTTGTTTCTTGACTTATTTAATCGCGGAATTGCAAGTTTATGTCTACGCGTATTTTTACAATAAAATTCCAGCTCGCGAGCATATAATCGTTAATTACATAAAATTGGACCGGTTCAAAAGCGGAGGGGTTTATCTAATAGAAGTTGCGATATCGTCGATGTTTTCTTTTCACGGGTTAGCGACCGACAATTACAATTTATACATAGTGGATTTTTTGAAGGCAAATTTGTTTACGTAAAAGGAGAAAGGGGGTAATATATATGTCGCGAGCAGAGAGAGAGAGAGAGAGAGAGAAAGAGAGGACGAAAGCACGTTCATTCTCACGGAGACCACGTGGCAGCTTTTACATAAGCGTGCATATCACACGCGTTTATTGTCCGTTTAATTAAAAAGATGAGCGTTACACATATAGCTGCAGTTAGTTGCGGCGCCTTAGACTTCTCTCGTTCAGTTCTTCCGCTTGTAATAGTCCTCGCTGAAATGTTGAATTGCATTTCGTCATGAAAGATAATCCAGTATTTTTTTTTTTTTTTGAATCAAAAGAGATAGAATTATAGGAAATTAGAATAATAATTAATTCCTTTTTTAGAAGTAAGTAACGATGAAGAAACGTTAATGAGCATAGTTATAACGAGATATATAATAAATTGTAGTAGGAATATAATTCAGGAGAGATCGAGATTTCACAAATTCCTCAGAGAACCCATTATTAAAATTAATCCTAGAACATTAATACGGATGAAAAATTTCTTAGAAAGAATTTAACATCGCCATTCTTTGTATATTTTAGATTCTTTTAATTTTCTTTCTAATTGTTTTCTTAAAATTATATTTCTTGTTGTAAAATTATATTTCTTTATATTATTGTTCTTATATTTCTCTTCTTATAATTCTTATTTATTTTACATTTATTTAATTTTGGATTTTTTTTCAATTGTTTCTTTTTTAATTAATTATATATCTATATAATTTTGTTTGTCTTAAATGAGATGACAAATAAATTCTTGTAAGCAATAATGATCGTCAAAATTGTACAAGTGTTCCAAGATTAAACTCGAGATTCTCTCAAAGAGGTTAGAGGGAAATAATAATAA